TGTGATTTATTGCTACAATTTTCTGCAAAACATTTCTCTGGGCAGCAAAATATTGCAAAATAATATGTTTGCTTTGTATGGAACTCTTGTAACCATTGAATATAACCACTAGAATATTGGGATTTTTTTCAATTTGCAACTCTATAGAATTAAGACAATAAGGGGGTTTCTCTGTTACACCCCTTTTTCAGCTGTCCTACTTAATCGATTTTCACGATTGAGGTGTCATTTCAAAGCTTATGATCCAGCGCACCTGGGAATGGTCATTCAAAAGTTAATTTCCTTGAGTTTCAGTTATTTCTTGAGTTCACTTTCAATGATCCAGTGTTGCTTACTAACTTTTTGTATGATGGTTGGATGGTAAAATTAATAAATACTTAGTTATGACAAAATTTATTTCTTGATCGTTTCGCCAAGAGGGGAGATCATTAAAAGGAATGATTGAGTGTGTAGACTCTTTTTAATTCACTTTTGTTTCCTCAACTTAATATATTTGTGTTTATACTTTCCGGTTTTTTTAATAATTAAAATATCTATCTACATTATTTTATATGAAGTTAAATAGATTTTAAAAATGCTACAATCATTTAAAGACCAGGAGTTCAATTACAAAACTGAAACTGCGTTGTTAAAAGTTTGTAAGAAAAGTTGAGTTGTAAAAAATGTGAAATGTTTACCATTAAGTTTAAATTTTATGCAGATTGTATTCAAGTTTTCTATCAGAAGCCAATATTGGTGGTAAAACTTTGCTGTTGTGGTAGGTAATTACCAAAGACGCGTAGTTGGAGGCTACAAAAGTTGTGACGCATCCGTTGTTGGAAGTTTCAATCAATTTGTGGTTGCGGTTTGAAAGTTGGAGAGTCCCATTACAAGTTTCATACTCGGCGAAGCTGTTTGGGTCGAACTTGAGTCAATATGTTTTGCATGGATCTTGTATAAAATAATGCTTTAACTCAGTAATTGTTAACTTGTTAACATTATTGCGTGTACAAAACATAGTTCCGTCTGGTTAATAAATAACCAGACGTTATGTATTAAAATAAAGTGTCATCAGTTTTTTTTTTATGTTCACTAACTATTCAGTATTGAATTTCAAAAAGATCCTAATGTGTCCTTTGCTACAACAATTTTACTAAATACCTAAAATATTCTCCAAATTTATAAATCAACTTCACTATCAATCACAATCTTTGTGAAATGAACTTCACATATATAATATTATATTATTATATCAGGCGTTACTATTGTTACTGAATTCAATCTATGCCTACCCATCACAGTACTAAGAGTAGGAAATTTGATCTAGATTTTTAATACGTGATTGATCTCTTTACCACTGGTATGAAAAACAAAACGCATTATTTCTTAATTGATAAACAAGCTGCTGAGAAGTAAGTCACTTTATAATAAAGCTAAGTTGATATAGTTATTTGTGTAACTATTGGTGAAAGTGGCACTTAGCTGCACACGAGAGCAATGTTTAGCAATGTATGAGGAATGATCTCGCGTGCAGCAAAGGCCTTTTTCACTCGTGTTACACATTATATTTTTCCTTTAGTCACTATAAAGCATATAAATAATTAGTCTTTCAAACACTATACAACACGTTTTTAGGTTCAGCTGGCAACACAAATGGTGCCCTAGAGAAAGTAGTACCCGCGGTCCGTATCACTCCGCTATTTTTCCTCGGCAAGAAATGTGCTCCGCGTTTTGAGAATATAGTTCCGTATGTTTTTGTAATTTGAACTGGTTTCCGCGCCTAAAAAAAATGCTTTAAAGGTATTTTCTTGTTTATTAAGATCGTAGTAATGTTTTAAAAACGTTTAAAAGAAAAGTCCAGAAAGTTCAGAAATACCGAAACTATAAACACGAAATGACAGGTTAAATCGTAGTTATAATAGTCAATCAGCTGCTCATAGTATTATTATCTTTAAGTGTTGCCAACCTATTTCCAAACGTACACGGATTACGCGCATAATAGAACCCATCGACATATGATAGAACCACAATGTTTTGTGTTGTTTCGTTGGAATCCCGATGTGCGGCAAAGTATAAACCGTACGGCAAAGTATAAATATGCAGCAATTAGCAGCTTTCTGTACCTACTATAAACAGTACAAGGAAGCCAGCTTTGTTGGGTGACTGTAGGAAAATTGTATTTTCAACATTATTGCCACCAGGACTGATGTAGAATGATATGATAGGTTATGTACCTTTTATTCATTCTCCAGTCCTAATTTAGTCAAAGGGTGACTAGTTTCGGGTCAGAAATTACCCATTTTCAAACCCATGTCATCAAATTGATTGGTCCAAAAATCCGAAACTAATCACCTTTGACTATATTTGGACTGGAGACGGTATAAAAGGGTACGTAACCTATCATATCATGATGATTGTAGTTGTATGATGGTTAAAAACTGTATCCAACTGTTTTTACCCTTGGTCTTTTAAATGAGCAGTCCATAGCACCTCAATCATCCCGCATTAGTCTATTTTATATTATTTAGTTAAAATATTCCTGACTGCGATTCCACTTTGAAGAAAGTGCCGTAAGTAACTGAGTCTTTATGATTGTACTCTTTGTTCCAAACTAGAATTAAAAGATAATACATCTGGAATACCTGTATAAATCTATTGTAAATTACCACTTATCCAAAAGTCTACTATTCTTGATGTAAAACTAAATTTTTGATTATGAAACACAATTATGAAGTTTCTTGCATTCACTTTTGTTGCAAAACTTAAATGCGAGTATCTTCCTTTTGAGTTTGTGGAGTTGAATAGAGGCTGCTATGCTTGACAAATGTATACATCGGAAGCCGAGAGAGACGCTACACCAAAGATTGACACTTACCCTACATTATGAGTAGCTTGTAGCGTCTACTTGATTCACTCAGTGTTCGGAACAGTATAGCTCACTTGTCAAACACAGGAGCTGCTTTCAATTTCAAATCTTTTCAGAAAATTGTTTCAGCTGAATTTGAACACTTGTCTAATGACATCATTATCATGAAACATAAAGGAGGTATCATATTTTCTCTGTTCAGAAACTAAAAACAGAATTCTATATCTCAATTTACACCAGTAAAAATCCTGAAAATAACTTTAAATTCGAGCCTTAATTGCTGTATTATTGTTCAAAGCTTACCATTAAATATAGAATTTTACTTTATATAAAATGTCAAATTAAGTAGACATATTTTTGTATACCATATTCACCATAACAAATGTTTCATAATCAATGGTATCTCCAGGGGATAAATGAGCGTACTTAGTATCATAAAATACTACTAATGTATAAAATGAAATTTTTTTAATCAGCTGTTTGAGAGATAAATTTGCGAACATATGAAAAATACAAACACTGTAGATTTCATAGAGACCAACCAATTTATCTCCTAAAACTCTACCACTGAATTTTTCTATGCCAGAGGGGGAGGGGTAGGTTGATATTGAGACGGGCATAGACTAGATATACAAGTATGATTATCGTCATCATGCCAAATTTCACTTTTTTTGGTCCAGTGGGTTTTGCATGGTGAAAAGACACCTTTCCTTAAAAGTATAGATTTTAATGTTAAACCATTGCAACTTTTTTGTTTTTCCCTATAAAACATCATAAATACTCTCACTGATTGCCCATGATAAAGGTGGTTGATAAGCCAACCGGAGAAAGCATTTGTCCGATTTTCTGATAGCATTTATTTTTTTACGGCAACATTTACCAAAATAGCTGTAAAATCCTACTTGTTGTTTTGTGATAGTTTTGCCAAGATTGTGGTAATATTAAGATATTTCCAAGATATTCATGTACGGTAGATGGTGTGAGATATAAGGGAAACGCATGTATTGTCACTTCTCCTGTCATGTATTGAAGCTCCTTTGATGTTTTACAAAGCTCACGGCTCACCTCGTGCTCTCTACGCTCCCAATTATGCTCAGTCTCTAATGATTCACCGTGTTAAGCTCGGTGTTTCGTATCAGCTCGCTGAGCGGAAAACTGTTTCATCCAAAAATATCCCTGAGTAAAATATTTCTTCCATTTTCTCTCCTCCATCCTGTAGCTGGTACCATGTGCTTTTTAATCAGTTATGCAAATAGTTTTATAGTATTTTGTGTTTAAGTGTTTGTGGTTGGTATTAAAATTTTATAGTTAAAAGTCGCTGCAGGGCCGCTGCTGATATTTATTGGTTTTTTTTAATATGCTAAATATAATATGAGGTATGACATCACCATCAGTAATTTAAACTTAAAATGTGATATAGATTGTGTCATTAGTGAAGGGATGAAAGAAAGAGGCAGAAACAACATTGAGAGAAACCACTAGACGCTAGGGATATTACATTAATCCAAAGACAATGAATTGTCAAGATAGCTCCAACATATAACAAAAGCAGTGGTGGTGGAGGAAGGGTCTTGTCCCAATCATGCCTATTTGTTCTCTTACACTTAAGATCTTCATAATTTCTTACCCACATGGGTCAGTGTAGAGTTTGACGTTTTTATAAGAATTGGCCATACAATTAGTTTGCACTTGGGCTACGCGATTGGCCACAAAGGTCTTTAGTCTGTAGGGAGGGGTTTGTAGCCAAGTAAGAACTGCAGATGAGTCACTCCACAATACAGTGGTATTCATAGTAAGAGAGTTAAATTGTTTTTTCACAATAAAAAAAAGTAATTATTCTAGATTTAAGTTATCACAGTCTACATTTAAACTTTGAATTATTACGTCTTTCTACTTATTGCCTGCAAGGATGGGTGATTCCATCAACTATTGCAGAATGGCTGGATATCAAGGTGTTATTCCAACCTCAAAGATATCTCCTAGATAAACGCATGGTAGGTGAATGATGTTGTTTGCATTTTTTATATTCTTTAATGTACACTCTAAGTATCATACCTGCTATCTCCCAGCAATGCTAGTTGCCACCTAGTTAAGTTAAATGCAGTTAAATTAGTCAATCAATTATTTATATTGAATCCATCCACTTTTGTTTCAGGATTCGGAAGATGAGATTTCCCACCTGGAGTGGGAGACTGTGAAGGTGAGGTTTATCAAGGCAGGGACACTACAGCGGCTGGTAGAGAGTCTGGCCACAGACGAGGGAGAGTTAGAGTCCACCTACATCAGTGTGTTCCTGGCCACGTATCGCACCTTCGCCACACCCAAGCAGGTGCTCAGTCTGCTGCTAGATAGGTGAGTGGTGGCCGTTATAATGTAATAGAATAAATAATACTATTCCCTACCTGTCACCTACTACCTTGGTTATAGATGATTCAGAATACCCTATTATCTATATAAATAAAATTAGAGTTTTGTCTGTACATTGCTCAGAAATATATATTTTTAGGTTATTTTTACGTCTTATACATTAAATAAGCAGAAACGAGTCTTATCTCAATTTCTGTCTGTCTGTCTGTCTGTCTGTCTGTCTGTCTTTCTGTCTTTCTGTAACACTCAAGATGGCATTTTACGCTATCTTCTCCTGGAAAACGAGAGTACCTGTCAAGATCCAAGTCATTTTAATGTATTCACTGGATTGGCGAGATTGTCTTTAGCCATTAAAATATGGCCTCACTACTTTGTAAATAATATCACGAACGTTCAAAAATGTAGTTTTATGCGATTTATGTCAAGTTTTCGTCCAATTTTTATTGCATAATCATCTATGAAATAACGAACAGCTGTTCGGATCAAGATTATTTTTCCTAGCTGTCACTGATATGTTTACAAATGTTGTTTACAAATACCGCAACCTTTTTCAATCACGTTTTGAATGCAAATCCCAACCAAGTGAGATTAAAAACGTTTTTCTTACATAACGGATTTAATTAATCGAAAGTGCAATAATATAGTGTAAATAGTGTAACCGTGTAAATGAAATTAAATAACTACCGTAGGCATCATCCAGTTCAGGAACCAGAGATTATTTGTGTATAAATTGTTCTTGAGTTTTGATAACCAGAAAGAAGACCTTGAATCAGTGTTGTATACGGCTGGGAAACTTAAATTTAATAATGATCGTCGCCAATAGCTTAGAAACATGGTTTCCACTCATTGACACGGCGCTTCAATGGCGGTTGTGTAAAGTGTAAAGTAAAAAATCACAACTGCAGTGGGTGATTGTAACAGAGGTTTACGGATGATGCTAAACTCGCTTTTCTAATGTGTTATTTTCTATTCCTACCATCGACTTTATATATATAGTCAATAGTACCTACTCACCGTGTGATGCAATCGCTGGACCATACAGCCAATAGGCCCATAGCCCATCTCTTGGGTACGTACGCCTACCCAATTATTCATAACAACCTTTTCGACGACGATCCTTGATACCGGTACTTTTCCCTAGAATACACGGCCTACCTACTTAAGAAATAAAATTACAAACGTCCAAAAACCCAACGTTGTGTGATTTTTGTCACATTTCCTTCTAATGTTAATAGATAGCCTTTACCAATCATTGTTTAGAGAATAGGTACGTAATCTATTAAATAACAAAAAGTTGTTTGCATGAGGTTGTTTTTTTTTCAAACTGACACCGATAAGTTTACATTAAAAGTTGTTTACAAATAAAGCAATTAATGGGAAATAACTTTGATTGCCGTTTTAAAACGTTTTACAAGAAAATCCAAAACCAAGAGATCAATAACCTCGGGACTTGATTAACTCATATAATTGGTCGGCTGTACTATAGTTCTCAACTGTGAACGTTGGTTTTTGGTACCGGTTCTATTCTTTAGAACCGTTGGTACTGTTGGTAGCAGCAAGAATCATTTTTAAGTACCAACACATCACTGTACTTTACAAATTAGTTATAGTTGGTGTTGCACCTTATTTATTATTACAGGCGTATTCAATTTAATTGATGTCTTAACTGTACAATTTTTGCTTTTTCTTTCTTGATTCCATAATGTTAGTTTATGCTAAGAAAACTATAACGCATTTTAGTAAAACATTTATTCAGCAAACCATCATGAATTGTTTAAACGCTTTACGTTGTTTATGTATCAATAGTTCGTGGCCTATTTTGGTAATATTTACTATAAATTACCAATCGTCTATAGTACTTCATTTCATATAGTAAGCCGTCATTTCGGGTCATCATCGGTCCAAGCAAATATACATTGTTATGATGAAATTTGATGACGTTAACAAATATTTCAGATATTAATTTTACAAGTACTTTGTTATGCTTAAAGCGTAGCAAATTCCCTAATTAAGTTCTGTATTTTTGTGTGTATGTCTGTTAGTAACGAATTAATGTCCTTATTTCTCAGTGTTTCACGGAAAGGACAAAAGTACCTTTATAATGAAAATGTCAACACGAATAAAGTGTTAATTTGGGAGGTTGAGGTAGTACCTTAAATACTTTTAACCATTGTGGAAGGTAACTTTCAATTATAGGCCTACATTAGGGCTATGCCTCATAGCAAAGCATTTTTTAGTTTAAGCATTGGATTTAACATATAGACCAACACGACCCAGGTTACATTTAATTTCGAAGCATTTGTTTTGGCTTGAAACTGTCAGATACTGTATTTGCGAAGGTTTATATATAATAGTATTACCAGCATATCTGAAAATATGCAAACCAAATTCTGTTCTAAAAAAAGGTTTCAATAACTGACTACAATAAGATCCCCGTGCGTAGAACGGGCACACAGCTAGTTTTATATAAGACAGTTTGAACGGACTATGCCAATGATTGAGTCTACCTATTAACAGCAAGCATCACAAAATAATGGTAATACAATACTGAGAATACTATATTACTTTTGTAACTTAGTCTGAGCTGTTTAAACAAACGAATCAAATAACGCTTATTGTTTATTCGTATAAACAGCGAGCATATTGAAATAATAGTATCTTGGAAAAGATTACTGGGAATATCCTACTAATATTATAAATGAGAAAGTTTGGATGTAGCGATGTATGTATGTTTGTGACAAGTAAACGTGAAATATACTGGTTGGATTGGGCTGAAATTTGGTGTGATGATAGCTCACATTCCCGATTAACATATAGACGCATTCTTATCTCAAAAGTCCTTTCAGGCTCCGCCCCAGTGGCTCTGGAGTTTCTCATGTTAACCTTATGAGTAATCATATTTAAAAGGAATAAAACCATTTCGTCAGCTGTTTCAATACACAAGTTGGTTCTATGATATTAAATGGCATTAACAAGTTATAAGGTTTATCAACAGAGTGCAGTTTACTATTAATTTTAATTTAAAACTTCATTATAGAATTTCTTTTTCTAATTTATGTCAATAGATACTTTTAGTGCAGCCGAATTTTGTTTCTAAAAGCGTTGGTGGATGTGCTTTTTTAAACAACAAATGTAAAGATCAAAATGTATTTTGTGTCCTCTTCCCGTTGCAAAGAACGGGTACAGCAGCTAGTATATTATATTTGTAACTTCTGAATTGTTAGAAAGAGCAAGTGAAATAATTGTGTCGCATCATTAGTGACTGGGTTTTTGTCCGGTAACAAAAATAATATTGTTTTTCACCTGCGTCACTGTGAAGCTAAGGAACGTTCCCTACTACTATTGCAAAGTAATGGTGTATCCCATCTCTACTACTACAACTAGTGGGTTCAAATTTGTATCTGAAACCAAAACTAGTTTTAAAAAGAAAACAAGTTTTAGTTACTACAGTCTACTTCTGGTTCTGATGTGTTTGTTTCAGCCAGAAGTCGTCATCATATTTCTATTTCATAACTTTTCAATCGTAAAGTAAAAGGGCAACTTTTAACCTGTTATGCTACCATCAAAATTGATCCAAGGAAAAAGTAGGAAATTGAAAACGATTGTAAAACACTCTATGATTTCTACTTCTGGCTGAAAGAAAACACATCAGAACCAGAAGAAGTCAATTGTACTAAATAAAACTTGTTTCTTGTCTAAACATATTTTTTAAGATATCAAGATCATAAGGAGTTTTATTTGCTCTTTTAGAATAGTTTTTACTGAATACAACTGATTGAGAGTTCCATGAGAAATTATCATTAGGTATTACCAAGGGAATATCATTAGGAATTAGAAATTACCTATTTATTACTTTTTAATTACAATTACAATGCTTTTACTTCACCATAAGGAAGACAGTGTACCGTGTATTCAATTTTGACTTCTTTCAGGTATGAACAACTGGCCAACAACGAGTTGGACCTTCCAGAAATGGTTTCAGACCAACACAGGAAGTGAGTGTTTCTAGCCATAGTCCACTTGCAAATGTGGGTAGGGTAAATTATAGACTGTAAAGTAGATACTCAATTGTTATTGTTATAGCTGAGCCTGGTGTAGACGTCAGAGCTGATTATTTTCACTGAAGTCTAGATTTTACTATTTTAAATGTATGTTGTACACAAAAAGTGTATACCGATGCTTCTAGGTGTCGAGATTGCTTCGGCAAAAAACCATAAACAAACCAAACAAGCAAAAAAATTTCATGAATGTGTAGTTAATCTAGTAATTATCATCCTAGTTCAGTGTTAGAGGGATGGGTTTTTTTGGTTGGTCTAGTATATCCAAAAATATGTAGAGTTATGACCACTTTTCATCTGGAGTCAATAAAGTGCTTGAATTAGGGAGCAAATAATACAATACATTGATTTGTAATTCCATCAATATAGCTTAAAAGACATATACACCATAAGAAATAAACTCTAAATTCAAAAGAACTTTTTAAATAAACATCTAACCATCGTACCACCAACTGTCTCTAGTTTGACGGGTTGACACATTTTTCTTACATTCTATCCCGACTATCCCGCAGGACCCTGGTGCTGGCGTTGCACGTGTGGCTCGACTCGTACCCGGAAGACTTCAGAGATCCTCCCCTGCACGCCACGCTGCATCAGCTGCTGCACTTCACACAGGCGCATCTACCTGAGTCAGAACTGCAGCACAAGGTCAGGCATCGTCTGGAGAGGTTCATCAGGGAGGATGAGATGCTGGGTGAGTGACAAACTACTGAGAACACTGTCAGTGACGTGTCATTATGTCAAGTACTGATATGCACATTTATTTCACACACAAAAACATTTTCAATTTAAATTTCCACAAGTCAAGACAATTTCCAAGTAAAATCAATTATGAAAGTATCAAAAATTAAGAGATCATTCCACTATAATAATTCCATGATCTGTACATGGGTAATAATAATTGGGTTAATAATTCCACGATGATATATTTTAGTAACAAATCAGCTACGGTTGATCGATATGGATCTGTCTGCTTCACCATCAAAAAGTTTTAATGGTTTAATATATACCAGTAACGCGGTAACTAAAGTGTTCCTTTAAAGGTTAACTTTCACAAAAGTTCACTTTTTTTAATTTGACTCTTTTAAATGTTCTGGTTGTCAATTCCAAACGTCCTTCATTTTTGCTAAGCATTGGCTTAAACAATTATCTAAATGGTTATTGCCCAAAGTAGCCGAGTGGTTATAGTGCTTGTCTTCAGATCTGAAGGATGTTTGTTCTGGAAGTAAATGGCAAGAGACATTTTACTTTAAGTTGTAAATTACATATATCTTGTTACAGAGTCCTGTCCACTGTTCACGCCAGACAGTCTGTACCTACACTCTAACGGGACTCACGCACCACCCTACAGCTTCCCAGACATCCCTGAGCGACATTTCGCTGAGCAGCTGACAAGGATGGATATGGTGAGCTGGATTTACATCTGTTGCTCTTTCAATATTCTTTTCATATACTTTTTTGTCAGTAAATTACCTGTATGTTTCAGATTTCAAATAAATATCTAGTAATGTTAAAACTTGATTTAATAATCCTTATTTGTGGAAAAACAGAAACATTGTTCTTGCTTTATCCACTTATTTGATTATTTAAAAGACTGGTTAAAATCTTTGTCAAGAGAAGAGAAAGAACAACTGTTAAAGCTGTAAATTGGTAGAAAAATAGGCTTCTCTAAGACTTTTACTGCCTAGCCTAAATTACTCACTTTTCATGGAATGTCCACAAATGACAAATGCAATGTATAGTGTAACAATTAAAGCTACAAACTTCAAACAACTGCACAATCATAAATAACACTGTCGTAATGTTCTGTGTAACTATATACAGATTCTTAACAGTTTCTCCCAAACATCTGAACCATCAGATGTGTGGTGACTGATGAGTTAGACTTTACGTGGTTATTATATATTTCTGTTACATGTATCTTGCTGAAATTCAACATGTCTGTGTAGAAGCTGCTGCAGAGGCTAGTACCTCACCAGTGTCTCGGAGGCATCTGGTCACGCAGGGACAAGTCACGTAGCCAGGAGGCGGCTACAGTGTTGGCTACGGTTAACCAGTTTAACGCGGTCAGTCTGCGAGTGATCAGCACGGTGCTGATGGACCCTAATTGTCGGCCAGTGGAGAGAGCTACGCTGATAGCCACTTGGATAGACATTGCTCAGGTGTGTGTGAGATGTTGATGCGCTCTCCAGTACAAGCGCGGCTAATAGTAACACCAGTACACACGTGTGGACTGACAGTTCGCGTCTTACTTCTTACTGGAAACGCTCTTTTATATACCTAATAAAGTTCATATAGCATCAACATTTTTAATCAAAATATAGGTAAATAGAAATATATACATTTCAAAATAATTACAAATATTTCAAATTGAAAATGTCCTGTTGAAAATCAATCAGTCAATCACTGGCCTGATCTTCACCCTCTTGAAACATGACGTGCCTAACTTTACACCCTCGTAGCTCAGGGCCAACTGACGCTAAGACAGTCAAAACACCACCATTGTCCTTGGAAGGTAGTGGGTGAACGTAGATGGAACGTCATGTCATTCGCTCGTGGATTCACTTATTCCTACAAACTTTTTCAAATGTGCGAACTCTGAGTCTGCGGCGTGTGTCCTGGAGGGGTTTAAACATAGTGATTGGCGTGAAAAATTTACTATTTTATTGAAATTACGTTCTTCATTTTCATTTTAGAAATGACAAAAAACATCAGTTACTAAAAATATCTTTTAAGTGCATTATTTCACCTTTCATAAATGGTTTCTGATGTATTTGTCGACTGTTTTGGCTCTACTAACACATAAGAATAATGTCTTCAAGATTTTCAAAACCACTGAGTTAGTAACCAAAGTATAATTACTTTTGTACTGCTCATACTTAAGAAGATTTCATGGACATGATAGGATTTATTCAAATGTTTGACAGTCATTTTTTCATGTTTCAGGAGTTAAGGGTTCTCAAAAACTTTTCATCGTTAAAGGCGATCATCTCAGGTCTTCAGTCCAATCCAGTCTATAGGTTACAAAAGACTTGGCAATGCTTACCAAAGGAAAAGGTAATTGATATTTCTTAAACTAATTCAGTAATACTAGACATTCCATCCCCATGTTAAATTTGGAGCCAGCTTTTTTACTGAAATTGTCGTAGTTGATGTGAGCCACCGACAGATTGTGCCGATCTAAATTACTGATTTCTGTTGAATACACAATCTTTTTTACCAATTCAAACTAATGGAATTACTTATTGTGAGCTATAGCAACTGTTATGACCCATCAAATTGGCCAGCAACAAAAAATAAGGTAGGAAATAGAGTTTTAGCAACTAGTGCATTTTGTGACTGGCTCACACAACTACGTTCTTTTTTAACAGAAAATTGGCTACAGCTGGTCCATATAGATGGGACGTCTACTTCTGTATCCAATAGTCAATGGTAATACATTTTATAGGGAGAAATAGTAATAGGCTACATTGTTATACGTCATTGATCACTTTTATTTTTTTGTCATCATACAACACCTTATAATTTAGTACTTTATTGACAGTAGTAACTCCAATTGAGATTATCCATAACACCAAACTATTAAACAGTTGTTTGGTATATATTTGCTCCAATTGTAGTATTGATTTTCTTTCCTTGGTTCACTCGACAACTGTAGGCTTAAGAGTATTGATTGTGATTGTGTGATGAGTGTGTTGTTTGGCCACCAGGTGGAGGTGTTTGAGGAGTTAGCCAGGATATTCAGTGAGGACAACAACCAGTGGGCTCAGCGGGAGTTGTTGATGCGGGAGGGAACAGCCAAGTTTGCGGACACTGTGGGTGAAAATGACAAACAACTGCAGAAGGTCATCCAGCGGCAGGCCAACAACAGTGGGGTACGTAATATTATCAGAAAAATTTGAGTATCCACCTACAATTTTTGTTGCAAGAATTTAAACATTTTTTAATAAACGTTGCTGATCAAAATATTAAACTGCCATGGCCACTTGTACCCAAGCTGGTACTTGGCCTCGCCAACACGTTGTCGCCTGTTCTCTCGGTCCTCTGAATCTTCCTCTACTAGTCTCATCTTTTCGATATCCTTCCGGATTTGATCCCACCACCTATCTTTTGGTCTTCCTACTGGTCTCGTTCCCCTCGGATCTCCCCTTAGTACCTTTTTCAACAAGTTCTCCTCATTTCTCCTCAAGATATGGTCCACCAACCTTAGCCTTCTGCTTTTGGCCTCCTACAATTATGGGGTCTCGGAATTATTCTCTTAACTCTTGGTTTTGGCGGATTCCCCATACTCCATCTTCACGTACTGGATCGTATATATTGGAAATATTCACAATATATTTTCAAATTCTTTCTAAAACTGTCTTTTTCTAAAAGTTTTGAAAATTAAATTCTGTTTGTCAATTACAGAGCATCAGTCATGGGACTATTCCGTACTTGGGAACATTTCTGACAGACTTGACCATGATAGACACAGCCATTCCTGACACACTGTACGAAGGTCTCATCAACTTCGACAAGCGCAGGAAAGAGTTTGAAGTTTTAGCTCAGGTATGTGAGTTTCTATTTGCTAAAATAAACATTTTTTTGTCTTTTTAGAGAAGCTTTCTAGATATACTTTACCAGAAACTCAAAATATATTTTTGAAATTAGTATCTCTAAGTTTTGTTGCATAATTTAGCCAAAAATTTCAATTTATATTTTGTCTGTTTTATATTCAATACATTTTGTCTACGCAAACAACATTCTCATTCAGATGCTAGGGTTTGATGTAGGCCTAAATACAAATTGGAAAAACAATTATAGCTTTACTTAAACTAAATAAAGTCAATTAAGGAAGAAAAGGAATTACAACAAACTCGTCTGAATAGAGTCCTGGCAGTTTAAGACACCAAAAACAATGTATAAAACAAACTTAATATTTTGCTTAATAGTAGTGTCAAGAAAGAATAATTCTGCAGAAGCCTAAAAAAAGGTATTGAAATATTATGCTTGTTACATGAGTTTCTTTTCTTGTTCATCAACTTGGTCCCATTTCCTTCATAAATTTAATTTCAAAGCCAAGAGGTTCATTACCGTACAAAAAATATTTCAAAATTTTATCCAGATGTACTCTGGTAAGAAAACTCAATTAGACAGTATTCTACTGGACAAGACATCATTCGCTAAGCCTATGTAGACTTGTAAAATTTGTCAGAACACTAAATTCAATCAGCCATGATCTGTCATCTTATTACAAGGTTTCATCTTCCATTGTACAGATCAAGTTGCTGCAAGGCGCAGCCAATGCGTACAACATCCACGAAGACGTAGCGTTTGACCGATGGTTTGACTCCATCCTCACCTTAGATGACAGAGAGGCTTACCAGCTGAGCTGTCAGATAGAACCTCCTGCGGTGCCTACACTCACCGTCACCACTCAGCGACACAGGAAGAAACCTCCCAACAACTGGTGAGTGGAGGGTGTTCAACGTGACGTTTAGAACGAGTTGCCCGTTGACTTTGAATATTAAAAGTAGACATCCCACTTAAATGGATCAGCGGTAGCTAATTTTGGATTTAATTTTGATTAGAGCATGGTTGGATGAGCCTACCACAGAGTAAGCTGCAGTTTGGAATTCTATTTTCACCCTTACATTTTATTACTGTGATAATGTATGTGACATTAAGGATGTATGGTTTACATTAACTTTGTAAAGGAATATTATTTCAACCTCAATATTTGCTTGACAATTTTAGTCCGGGGTCTAAAAAATATGCAAATAAAAAATCATGGTTTCTTCACGGAGCATATTGAATGAACGATCTCTTCTTTTATTTTTGTATTACCTGGAAGTCAAAAAAAAGGGAACACATAATCAAAATTGTCAAGTCGAGAACAAAGTTGTTGAATTTTAATCCAGTGTATCCAACCGAAGGCTTTTGTGGTGATACTATTACATTAGCTGTAGTAAAAAAAAAACTAAAAAACAGCCTCAGTAATACATGAGTTTAAAGAAACCACAATAGCATTGAGTTCGAAAGTAAACCTCTGAATCTCTAAAGAATTCTCAGTTTTTGCTGAGAAACGTGTAATTCTTTAAACCATATATTACCAATTCTTTATTAGGAAAGCACTATGTATCTGATTCAAAAAGTCTACACATCAAAACTAGTTGTCTATAAGTATAAAATACTGAATAATTTTATTTTGTAAAGACAGCAAGATGTAAAGTGCATGACAGTGTTTGTTACAGTATGGGCCACAGAAAGAACGATTCAATAGCGTCCACGACCAGCAGCAGCTCTAGCAGTCAGTTCTACGACTTGGAGAGTTTACCTTCCTCCCCTAGAAACTCTCTTGACAGGAAGGTAAGACTGCTTTTGTAAAGATTACGTTTGTTAGGTCTGTTGTCTGATAGATAGTATTGATATTGATAGTTAGCATTCTTATCAAAGACAACAAAAACTCCAAAGCAAGTTGAATGATGCTTTTGACCACTAGTGTGGTTACTACAATTTCCCATTCTATAGTAAAATCAAAAGCCTGTTTCAATGGATGTTTCAAACCTGGTTGACTTTTAGTGTTTTGATGTCTATAGGTCATTTTATTAGATTAGGATAAATTGTACCATGTTTGATCTACTGACAACCAGTAGTAGTTGATCAATAGAGTGTCTTATTTGGTAATTCATACAGAGACGCTTTAGTGTATGGGCTCAGGGCCAGGGGCGCAAGGAAGGGAACAATTCCCAGTGGCGTGGAGGGGGGAGGGGGGGCGCTATTATACTTTAATGCCTTACTTAATTCTTTACTTTAAAATAGTGACCATACACATATACATGTAGGTATTTTAAGTATTGTCACTCTGGCCCATAGTGTGTCACTTAAAAAATGCAGGCCTGATTACATACATAATTTCCAAGTTAGGCAAATAACCATAAGTAATAAGTAAACGTCAAAACACCCTCTACCAATACAAGAAAAATACCTTGAAGTTGTCCTACAATATGGGGTCTCGGAATGATTCTCTTAACTCTTGGTTCATTTCCAAAGATGTTAAATTTATTAGGGAGTATATTTGAACTATGTGGTGACATAGTTAATAATGAAGCAATAGGAGGCATTATTTCATTGCTTTATCTTTCAACTTATGGGCTTGAATTTTCAAGGCGTCGCCATCCCAGATGTCGTCCTCGTCTAGTAATTCTTCCCTACCCTCCCTGGACGTGAGTGTGGGCAGCAGTGCTACCAACACGACAGGCAACAGCGTGTCAGTCAGTGCTGCCAACCGCAGTCCTGCGTCTTCACAGCTACGGCAAGTCACTCCGGACTTCTACATAATCAAGGTCACCTTGGAAACTGACCTTGTGGAGACTGATGGTGTGTATTGTCTAGAGTTAGGTTTAAAAGAGACATAAGCAATTTTTTATCGGTTCTGATCCCTTAATGACAATTGTATGCTTTCTGCTCAAGCTAACAAAAATTAATAGGCCTACCAATAACATATGTTAAAAGTCAAAGTTCACCACCTCTTTATATGGAACATTCATTCTGCCTAGGTACTGTTTATTGGTTCCTATTAACTGGTCACAATTACACGGAAATATTTCATCCTGACATAGATGTAATGTACTTTTAAAAGTAGGCCAAAATAATTGAAATAAAATATTTTGTTAGAAGTATCTTAAGTAACATTTTCCACTGCACGCTGATGTTTTATGTGTGAGGTAAAGCCAAGCATGTGAGAATAAGTACGACGCTAAGCTGAGGACACAAATTATTGGAGCAAGTGTCAGGAGATCACGTTTGGAGAGATTGTGAATGATAGTTTTCATCTCAAAGCAAAAATGCCTATATCTGTTTGCATTTAGATTGTTAAAAGCTATTTGTTTATTAAGAGCGCAAAGTACGTCATTGTTGCTCAAGAACTGTAGATTGCCGCACAAAGATTTTGCTGAATGCGGCCATACATTTCGGGAGCGGCAATGACTGTGCTTGTTTGTAAATACACACAAGATTTTTTCACTGACAACATATGATCACTTATGTGTGACGCACAGATAAGCTTTTCAGTTGTATAAAATGTCATTTTTAGGTTTCCCTCACACAAATGAGTGCAGGAATGAATAAAGCAGAAATAAGTATTTTTGCGCACTGTTTACAGGTGTGTCATTTCCGTACAGTGGTAGGAGAACCATTAAAAGTAGGTAGATGTGCTGTACTATAGCATACCGTATAAATTAAAAGAACCTAATTTTCTGAAACAGTGTCCTCTCTCACAACTACAATAAGCATTTTATACTTGTATGCCAACTCCGTACGAAAGACACCCGTCCTTCAGAGTTCCCACTTTTCTAGTTGGTTCATAAAGGAGATTCCCTTAACTATTTATAAGGTGTGATTAGCTATATGGTGTATTTTTGACGCAATGTTATTGCAGGTATTGTGATGTACAAGAGTATAATGCTGAGTAACAATGAAAGAACACCTCAAGTTATCCGCAACGCAATGCTCAAGCTGGGGATTGAAGGCAACCCTGACAACTACACTCTTGCTCAAGTACTTCCAGATAAAGGTAAACTTTACAAAAGTCTTATAAATCAATTTTAAATTGTAATTCTTTAAAGTACTTGGACCTAATCACCATTGTGGGATTTGCTTCAAGATGGTTCATGGACTCCTGTTGAGTACCTGCAAAAAATATTTCTGTATAACACTTACCAAAAAAGTCTCTCCAAAATACCCTTTTATAAAAGTCAATGGGATAAAGCTATTAACACTTCTACCTTCTTATAAATCACTTTGGTAAAACAACGGGTATAACATATTCAGAAAATATTTAAGACAGTTTTCATTTTTCAAAGAATTTTCTAACAATGAAAAGTTTGTATAACTTAGAACCAACGAATTACTCTGGAAAGCAAATCTAATATGACCAATGAAAAATAAGAGCTTTGGTGAATCGATGGCTCAGTCAGTAGCAAAACGGACCATGAATTCATATAAAAAAGGTTGTATCCTTGTGCCCACTTGCCACTAATTTTATTAATACATTTCACCCTTGTACTGTAAAGGCTTACTCCTTGCTTCGCTGGATACATTCCATGTACAACAAAAAGCAGGCTGCCATACTTAAAAAAATTATATCAATCAAACTTGTTAAAAAAGGTGTAAAATCTTTCTTGTATTTTCTATGTATTACTTAAAGTAATTTACTACTTAAGCATAACTTTTATTTAGCACCTAGAATTGTTCACTATTTTTAACATTTTTGTAATGTTTTCTCAACAGAAATGCTACTGCCGGCCGACGCGAACGTGTACTACGCTGTCAACACTGCCTTCAACCTCAACTTCATTCTTCGGTCCAAGTTGAGACTATTAGACAGTCCTGCCACGCTACCCAAGCCTTCACGGACCAAGAACGGAAAAAAATTCCCCCTCTCCGGCTCGTGATACAGGCTTTAACGTGGAACTCTTTGTTTCACTGCCTTAATAAGTCAGACTTAAGATATATTGGTGAAAATTAAGGCACAAACAGTGTTTGGAAAATACTGTTAGTTCTTACCTAGATATTTTCACCCTCTATTTTATTGGAAATTTTAATTAAAGATATTTTTTTAGAAACGTACCCTGGAATGTAGTCATACTGCCAATGTGTAAGATTTTATCGTTTAGTTATAAATAAGGAACTGAGAAACGGGATAGAGACTTTAGCTAGTTTCATAAAATTTGCATAACAAATGTATACCATTTACCCTTGAAACTTCCCCTTCCTCAAAAATTACAACCCAATATTCACAACTGTGGTTTCATTTTGAACCATAAAATGTATTGTGATACTGTACTCCATTATTGACCTTTTTACTTCCCCTTCCATGTCCTTTGGTTTGTATTGGCCTTGGTTCTTATGATTAAAATGTTATTCCTTTCTTTATAACCTTGCTACTTATCAGTAATAGTATAAGTAAATAATACTCATCAATTGTAAAAGATATTTGTTGATTAGGTTTGTTTCAATTGAGTAGGTAATGGGTTTAAATAATGTTATCAATTTATCATATTGTTACTGTACAAGTCATTGTTCTCTCAAGTTCAAAGCGTTATATGTCTCAGTTTTTTGTTTTATTTATTTTAAAAACATAGGTCTTACTAGCAGCAATTAATTTATGGATGTGCAGAACAAAACCTACGCAACTTATTTGGATCTCATTGACTTCTAGTGACCAAAGCTATGTTGTTATGAAATGTTGAGGTTGTTGTCATGGTGTTGTTGATATAATGTTAGGTTGTAACTGTGGAATTGTAGTGAGTACTTGTTATTTGTCACAAATATTTATTTAAATTGTGAATAAACTGTCTTTTAAATTTTAATAATGATAAACTGAATCTGTACAGTTAGTTATAAGAGTTGTTGAAATTAAATTTATTTTTGAGGTTAGTGCAATGTAAAACAGTCAATTACAATGGACTATTAATTATTTTTTAAACTACTGCAATTTATAGTGTTAAATAGGGATGGACGGGTTTGAATTTTTAGTTCGGGACGGGACGGGACGGGATTTTTATTTCCTTCCCAATTTTCGGACGAAATGACTTCGTCTCCTGCGTTCGCGGACCTTTTGCTCGCAATAGCGGCGTCATCGGCACTCGCGAAGCGGTAAAATCGCCGACGATCGGACCAAATCCCGTCCCGAAAAATTCCCGACGGGACCCGTCCATCCCTAGTGTTAAATATTCTTTACATACATTAATTGTAATTGTTTGTATTGAATATCTGAGTTTTATAGCTGTCAAAATGTAAACGTGATATAGGATTTCCAACTGTGTTCATACTTGAAACAAACATATCTGCTACAAGTTCAAAACTAATTTTTTTACGTATAAATCAAAATACTGTAGCTAAATTTAATCAAAGAAAATGTGTAAAATATCAACTTGATTATTTCAGTCTAACCAAATGTAAAACTAAACAACAAAATAAACTATATACAGTATGTCCTTTGTATTTAGTTATAATACAAGTGTTGAAAAAGACAAGTAGATGATGACCAACTTTGTTGTGTTAGGGTATGTAAAAACTCTGTGATCTTGTAAAAGTGTTGATAATTTTTTCTCACACATTTTTTGTTTGTACATTTTTATTAATCCCTAGAAATAAAGATACACGTTAAAAATATTTAACCATACCCTAATATAAAGTATTCACCTTGCAATTTGGTTAAAAAACAAAGAAAAATGATGGATGACAGTTTTCTGCTCACTAATTGTTTTAAAACATTCTTTATAATATTGTTTCTTTGGCTTTATATTTTTGTCCTTTAGAGATTTATTCAGATTAGTTAGTTGTTTGATTATTTTCCTCAAGACTTCTAATAAATGCTAAAAGTAAATTGAGAAGCTAGTATCCAATAAAACCTATATTTCACTGAAAAAATCAATCAATTTCTTAATGTCCATCTTTTCTAGTTATTCTTGAATTTAAACAAGGAGTAAAAATTATCTATTGCTGTTAAAATGTTTTTTAATTTATTATTGTTGTACTATTACAAGGAATTGATAAAAGAATAAGCTTCAAGATTTGCTTATAAACATAAAGAAATTATGTTACTTGTCCGAAAGTGAACATTATTTAACAAATGGAACTGTCTAAACCATATGTTTATGTTAAGTTCAGTTTCTTTTCTAATATTCGTGTGATTTACATATAAACGTAGGGATAATATTTTTTATTATTTTGAAAGAAGATGCATATTCCAAACTGATTTGATGTAGCCTATTATTCTTGATAAATATGTATTAATTCTGTGTGACTATGTTTACTGTTATAAATGTACTTAAGTGCTTACACGTCTGTGATAGTTAGAAACAAAACATTAAGTGCAATGCTGCAAGTTCCAGTATTTCAAAAGTCCTAACATTCGAGACAGCAGAAGTATTTCACAGTATTAATATAATTGTTGTTTTGTTATTAATGTGAAAGTCTTAAAGTATATATATTTTTTGGTTCTATTTGATAGTTATTAGTTTACTGTTGTAATTTATTTCATGAACAGTTGTTGACACTCTGAGTCCAGAATGGAAAGCAACAAAATTCACACTGCCTGATTCAATTATTAGAAATTACTTACTTTTAAAAATTTAACTTTTTAGTACAGTATGGATTAATGAAAGTCTAAATATGTCAACTTATTAATACCATACTGTATTTTCATAATAATATATTGAAAATATTGTATTTCTTTTAGAAAATATTGTTTTCTAAAGTAAATAATAATTGTTATTTTTCTACTAAGCCTTTAGAAAATTATAAAAGTCCAATCTTTAGCTGTATGATTTTAATTTTAATTAAAATCTGTGTTCCATCCTGAAAATATTTACTACGGTATACAATTTATTTTGCTCTGACAATAATCACCCTTTCATTTATGTTTTGTAATTACATGTAATATATGTATGCAAAAAATGTACAAATGTAAATTTGATGCTATTTAAGTCTTTTGTACATACAAAATGTTTTATAAATATAAATAAAATGTCTTATCTTATATATTTAAATGTGTGCTTTATTATTTATTTCATAGTTAGTTAAATTTGTACTTTTAACACGTTTAGTGAAAAATTGATACTAGGGCCTACAGTAATATTCTGTATATAACTGTTTAATCTCTATAGAAATATAACTACTGTATCTATTCTAAACAATCATTAATTTGGATACTGTTAATTAATATTTGGACCGTTCTCTTTCGAAACGTAAAAAATGCCACTAGCGTAGAAACACAGAAAAAAATACAGAATTTGCTTAACAGGGACAACCATTCAACTGCAGTTAAGTTACAACTGGTTAAGCGGTCAAATGGTGATGTTGCTACATTCAGTAGACTTCCTTCTTACCCGGACTCCTCGGGACCAAGGCCAGTCCGGATAACGGGTTTTCCGGTTAAACCGCCGCCCCCAAATTCAACTCGTTTAAACGGACTGTTTAAATGCATAATGTATACAGTATTTGACTTAAATTTAGGAGAGCATTGTATTTATACACATAATTGCTGGTCTCAAATCTTTCCGACGAGAACAGTCGTTTCAGTATCGCCCACTCACTGCTGATCTGGTCCGGTTAAACCGATGTCCGGTTAAAAGGTGTAAGGATAAGAGGGAGTCTACTGTAGTAGCCTACTTTGTAATAAATACACTAAAAGCGCTCAAAGGAAAATAAAACTTCCAGGATGACTTATAAAATGTTATTAATTTAATTAAGAACTTTTAGTATGCACTGCAACTGGCTTAATCAAACTGGAATAAAAATAAACAACATTCACGTATTTTTAAATGTTACCTGTAAATCTTACTCGCCATCGATGTTTGTGCATCTAAAATTATCTTAATTCAACAAATCTATCTTGTAGCATTTGTCTAACCAGATCCAATAATTAATCACATTTTATGCTAACGTCTTCAGTAACAGTTTAACATGTCAAAGACTCTCAACAACACGCTCATAGATCATCAACCTTGAATGGTAATGGGTTCAAGCTTGTTGTCTACAACAGGTGTTTTAAAGTACCGACTTAAACCTCGTTATCAAACGCATCTGTTGGTAGCTGTGATGTGCGAGTCATGTTAGTTCTATTTTGTTATAACTATGTTACTTTATCATGCATTCTTTCTTCTGTCGTTTTCAATATTGACTGAAGCTACATTTCAAGAATTGTGTAAGTACTGTACTGTTTTTTTTTTTATTTTCATTAATTTCAACACTTATAGATACCGTAGATACTCCTTTTTTAGATTTATCATATTGATGAATCATCTGAAGACAATTTTTAGGTATCTATATGTTTGCAAACACGGATGTCAATGTCTTCTCTTTATTTTTGTTTCTTTTTTTATTTCAAATTAGATTCCATCAAATAGATGAATGCTCTTTGTAAACTTCCGATGGCCTGGTAATACAACCTTAAATAAACCCCACAGTTTCTATAATCCAACCAATAATTTGTTATTAAATTTTTCAAATTATTACTGTACTCTTAGTATTTAAAGAGCATGTATGTTATTAGAATTGCAATATAAACTATTGGGACTGGTGTCTATAACATATGAATTGATTTTATATGAGGCCTTAATAATCCAAGGGGTAAAAGGTTTGGCCTTTGGAGGGATCCACGGCTAGTGCTCCCAAATTTTGAAAATTTACCTCGCTTATAACACCATTCTAGTTAACTTTTAGCCTCTCAACTTCACATTTGAATTACTTCCATTATTTGATAAAGCACTTGAATAATTTATCTTGTGTCAGATGAGCAACACCAATATGTACAAAAGCAAACAAAATTGAAATAATTCACAGTCACTTCACTGACCACTCTCTTTGAGAGAGAGAGCGGTGTTGATGGATGAGTGATGCCAACCTAACTAACAGGTTGGTAACGAATTGGGTTACTGTACTGAAAATTGTATCAAAGACACATTTCAAGAGAATTGTAAGAGACATTTCATTCAACAAAAATGCTTTTACTGTACCATTTTGTTCAATAAAATAAATATATAAAGTGTTGACTAGATGGGGGGAAAGCTCAGAGAACAATATAAAGAAAATACACCCGCCTCAGCAAACCTGCAGACTAAGCCAATTCCCATGTTGTTATGTTGTTTATGTTTATGTACCTAATTGAATTTTCAATTAATCATGTTTTTTTAATTAGCAATAGATTTAATGAAATGTATAATTAAATTTACAAGTTTAACAAGGCCAATATATAATAATTTTATTTTTTTTCACTAATGGATACACTACAAAATTAATAGACAACATGCTAAAGCTAAATTAAAAAGACGGAAAAATCAGAGAACTACCCACATTTCAATTAGGTCAAAATAAATCATCACAAAATTTAACTTTCAGACCTATTAACCTACTGAAATCAAAATTAGGCAATCCTAAAGATAAACTCAAAATTTGACCTGTCTGGAATTTATGAAATTAATTTTAATGATTGTAACTTGAAATATATCGGCCAAACAAAAAGAAAAATCCAAACAAGATTCAAAGAACACCAAGCTCATGCAAAATACAGAAGACCTAAAAAGTCAGCCCTTGCTAGCCACTATTTTCAATTTGGGAAACCTTAAACTTTTAAAACAAATTATAAAACCTCAACATCTTAATGCGTGGGAATCTTATTTTATAGAAAAAACAGATCAAAATTATTTGTTAAATAATGAAGACGGCCCAATTATAAACTCGGAATTACTGAAAATAACTACATCAAGAACAACACTGTAATATATCCAAAATTCAAAAGATTATTTTTCTAATATTAATTTTTATATATTTTTCCTATGTCCTTTACAAGTTATGTTTTAACTTTGTTTAAGATTAATTTATTATTAAGTAAATATTTACTTTTTGTTCCAGTGTACTAGTGCCTGAAGACGGAAACCTAGTTTCTGAAAGCGCTAGTGAATAAAATAAAATTATTATACATGGGCCTTGTTGAACTTGTAAATTTAATTATACATTTCATTAATAATTGCCAATATCTCCAATATAAGTTAACAATAGATAATAGATATAACAAATACAGTAGCTAGGTT